AAATACTAGTATATCTATATCTATACTATATACTAATATTATAAAAAGGTAAAGTTTGTGATCTTGTGAGTTTGTGACGTTGTAGGGGGTAATCTCTGGATCTACTGAACCGATTTTCAAAATTCTTTTACCAATAGAAAGCCACGTTCTTTCTAAGTGTCATAGGCTATATATTAACTCGAAAAATGAGAAGCCTTTTTTGTGGTAGTCGGATTCGCAAAGTAAGTCGGAGAAAAAACGGTCGAACGAAAACGTTTCTTACGAACGCTGCTTTAACGATGAGAGATATATGATTATGTTCTAGAGAAAAGTTAATTAATAGTTAGAGCTTAATAATGCCTACAAAAAGTCAGCGACAGCATATGTCTAACTTTTATATTTAAGTCACAAAAAGTAGTTTTTTATATTAAAAAAATAATTTAAATCGGTAGGTCATGTTTATTGGTCATATTATCAACAATTATGAATTCTTATCAAAATAAGTAAATTTATCGTCTAAAATGTTTAAAACAAAAGACTTTTCCCTTTTACTGCATATAATTTGGCCAAATGGTTAAAGAGATAATACAACATATTCGTACATCAAAACAATATACTAAAAAATGGTAGGTCTTGAAAAGTCCTACAGAAAAGTTCTGAATTGTATATGTCTATTTCCTAAGTTACACTCGCAATATTTATTCTTATCTATACGTATAAATAATAATAAAACTAACTTAGTCAAATTGATGTACCCTACGCGTTTCACGCAAAAAGTATTCAACCGATTTCAACTAAATTTTGTATAGTGATAAAACTTAGTAGGTACTCGGGTGAACATTTAGGATACCTTTTACGACAGGCAAATTATTTATTCCCACGGGAAAATACAATAACTGGTTCTATCGAATCGTCCTTAGAAATTTATATGGCTAGCATTGGCTCAACCTTAAGAGATAGATCAAAACATTCTGCAAGGAAATTGTAAGTCTTAAAAAGATCTCTAAAAAAGTTCTGCATAGTATATGTCTATCTCCTAAGGTATACTAGCTATAACTATTTTCATTATTATAGGTATATTATTGTTTTATTATACGTTATTTATTCTATCTATACATATAATAAAACTGTAGAGGTTAGAAAAAAAATGCTAAAAACCGAGTCAGTTCTCTTCTTATATCCCGAAAGAAGAGAAATAGAGCAAATCCAGTTTTTTATTCAATTTTTTTGTTTCTCTGTCTGTTTGTCTGTTTGTACGGGCTAATCTCCAAAACTGTTGGACCGATTTAAATGAAATTTTGCATGGTGGTACCTTATATCCGCGGTCAACATTTTAGATACTTTTTATCCCAGAAAATTAAAGAGTTCCCGTGGGATAGTTAAAAAACTATAGTAACTTATACACATTAATGTATAGTAGTATGCTTACTTAAGTAAAGTACATAACAACTTATGCACCTAATTTAGTAAAATTTGGCATGTAATACCTTATATTGCCGGTCAAACAACATGTTACTTTTTACCCGGGAAAAATGTACGGCTCCCGTGGGATAGATCTGTTTGTGCGTTTCTAGAGGCGAACTCGAGTGAAGCGAGGGTGAGCCGCTAGTACATAAATATAAATCGGATAAGTGCGAGTCTAATTTGCACACTGAGGACGTAGCATGAAGTTATAAAGTATAAACGCATTTTTTTGTGAAGTAACTACAATGGTGAATGGACAACTTTGTATTCTTAGATTTTTTTTCCAGAGTGTATCAAGTTGTGTCTTTTTAAAAAGACCATAATTATAATTTAAAGCTTCATTTTACTGTATGACACCAACAATGAGTTACGTGCAGGGACAGAACTACGAATCATTTAGTTTTATTAAACCCGTGGAAGTCGGTTTTTGTGTCATATGGAATTTATGGAGAGGATTAAGCTCAAGAGCTCCTCAAGGGATAGGACCCGAGACTAACATATTCGAAAAAGGACAATAGTAGTCGATATAGCTCAAAGAATTAGCACGCTGAAAGTGGGTTGATCATGTTTGCCGTAGATCTGGCAATCGTTGCAGCAGACGAATGGAGACCGTAATTACGCAAGCTCAGTGGGGGACGCTCTGTGACTAAATAGTCAGACGACATTGAAATTGTAAGCACTTGTAGGGCTAGAACATAGAAATGTGTGGCAACGTGAAAGAGGTCCACGTTCAGCAGTAGACGGACATGGGCTGTTGCTAGGATAGAAGTTTCTTTACTGGCTGCGGCTAATTTATTTACTGGCTGCTTCTATGATTGCAGGAAACAATCTCACGATTTGTGCATTACCCTGACTTATATTCACACAAAAATATTATATTAAGCTCTTTAAATTAAAAAAAATAAAACAATGTATAATAGTCGATTCATGGACCGTTTTGCATGCGGAAGAGACCGTGTGCGTGATGCGTGATTACTACAGAAGCCGTTTATTGTTCTGTGTTTGTATTATAATAGAATAGTAAAGAAATAATAAGTTATTTGTACATTCAGTAATATATACTTCTTTAGTTTATTACTACTTCTTTTTCACCGACTTCAAAAAAAAAGATACTTAAATTGAGGGTTTTTGAAGTGATACTTCTTTAGAATCGTTGTGATTGGAAACTCGATGAAACGGAAATGCGGCACGAGAAAGAGATAAACACATAATATTCCTAGGGCCTCAAACTATTTTCTTACTAAATTTTACCTTTTACCTAAATCAGTTCAGTAGATCCAGAGATTACTCCCTACAACCTCACAAACTTACAAACTTTACCTCTTCATAATATTAGTATATATGTATAATATAATTATCTTACATTTTGACAAAACTCTCAATTTCTTTTTTAAATATTGTTGTCATGATGAAGAAACTGAACACTTGTCCTGACAATATAACACCTCCAGGTAAAATTCTAAGATATCTATTGTTAACTGACACGTCGGCCGGGTCCGCTGTCGTGGAGGGATTAATATATTATACGAGTATAAACAAAGACAACAAAAAAAGAATAGCCAAATAGGTGCAACCGTTCTGTAATAGTTCAATCACACACATTTTACAATTGATTTTTATTTATATAGATTAAGCTGGCCAGAGAATGAGATATAATACATTACTGCTGAGTTTCTTCTGCCAGTTCTTCTCAGGTCTGAGGTTTCTTCTTTCCGAACTGGTAGTAGACTCATGACGTTCAGTAAAAAATTGTAATAATTTAATGCTGAATGAAATATGTTGAATTTGAATACCCAAGAAGTCAAAAATAATACTAAATAATATGTTAACTTATTATGCAATATTATTATATTGTTAAATAAAATGTAAAATAAGTTTTAAATTTGGTATAAAAACTAAAGTTATTACTTATAATAAAAATGAATATTTATGACCGTGGGATGAATCATTGAATGTGCATAAATTAAACAAATTATAAAAGCTATTATGACTAAATTATTATCATAATAACACAGTGTAGCCCAGTGGCAACGCGCTCGCTTGGGAAACCGAGTGAAGCGGGTTCAAATCCCGGGTGTCGCACCTCTGATATTTTCATGTGCGAATCATTTCTAACATGATTACCACTTGCCTTACGGTGAACAAAAATTTCGTGAGGAAACCTGCGTGTCGGAGAGAACCTAGCAAGTTTATCGAAAGACATGTGAAGTCCGTCAACCCGCACTTGGCCAGCGTGGTGGACTATGGCCTGATCCCCCTCGTGTTGAAGGAAGGCCCGTGCCCAGCAGTAGGACGTTAAATAGGGCAGAATACTATGACTAATTGCTGCCATGGTAACCGATGCTATTGTCTGACACAATATGTTGGGACATTAACACACAGCACCATCTAGTTCCATGGTAAGCTACGAGGCTTGTGTTATGGATACCAGATAGTTGATACACTACACAAATATAAACTTTAAATAGATACATATTGTAAATATAAACACCCATGACTGAGTACAAACATTCGTGCTCAACACACAAATTAATGCCCCCAGCGGGACCCGAACTCGCGACCGCTGGCACAGCAAGTAGGGTTACTACACACTGAGCTAAACGTGTCGTCGAACTGACAAATATATAATATTATATTCTTTCCGTATATGATATTCTATAAATATATGATTGTAATATAATTGCGATATTTGGCAAAGAAGTGTCACTTCTACCGTGAGTGAATTGCATACACACACACTTTTTTTTTTGTATGTATATAGATAGATATGTATCCTCACTAATTGTGAAGAGTAGTTAATGTTCATTCTTCATTAGATACAAGAAGGCAGGAAACTAGATACATTATAAAAAATAAAAATATACATCGCGTAAATAGTTTTTGTACTATATATTATATAAATATAATAAAGTTCAAGAGTTCAAGAAAACAGCAAACGCTAAATCCTGTTACCTACTATTAGTTTACCTTGACGTGTTATTATTTTTAATTTTAAAAATTCTGTGGATTTCCATTGAGACTTGAGAATCATGGATGCTTGAAGTATAAAATCGAATACAAGTATTTTTATGTGATACCTATTTGTTTGAAAGAAATATAAAGCTTTATTACATTATAGGACAAAATATACTATGTAGTAATTAATACTTATATAAGTATAATATATAAAACTAGCGGTATGTATACAACTTCCCTATTTGAATCGGATATTATTAAATTTTTCATTGGTTTTAATTTTTTTCGTGGGACTATTTTTTTTAAATAAATGTAGCTTAAGTTACTCCTTATTACATCAGCTACGTGCCAGTAAAAGTCCCGTCAAAATCGGTCCAGCCATTTCAGAGTTTAGCCGGAACAAACAGACAGACAAAAATTGTAAAAAATATTGTTTTGGTATATGTACCGTGTATACATCCATATGCATTTAGTAAAAAGCTGTTATTTTGACATTACAAACAGACACTTCAATTTTATTTATCTGTATAGATGTATTGCACTTATCATACTATATTTTTGTTATAATTTATATACTTATATTAACTATACGTGTAAATTACCTCAAACATAAACGTGTCCACTTCTTCCCTCACATGGTCATCGTCTACTTTCTTTCCATCGGCCTCGGCTAAGAGTAACAGGTCCAAGAACGCCTGCTTATTGCGAATACCTTTAATTTAACAAGCAATCTATATATTATACATTTATTGTTAGTCTCAAACAAAAATTCTTAAAAAAATATTAATGTAGGTATATAATATATTTTTTTATAAAACTAGTTAAGGACGCGGTTCTGCTTGCATGATTAATTCAAAATACTTTTTAAATTAATATAATGAGTCTGATTGGAAGTTCTTGCGCTTTTTGATATTTTAGTCTAAATATCATATTGGAAGGCGTATGCCCGATTTCACCAACGTCACCTAAGTTTAAGGGATCCCCTAAGCATGGTTAGAGGGCTGTTAGGGGACAGTTTCTGTTTCACCGACAGTTAGGGTCACCTAAATACTAAAAGGCCCCCTAAACTTAGGTGCTCGAAATATGGGCTTAAAGACGATCGTAAAACGAAATTTAATTTAGGGGCTAGTTTAGGGGACTTTTAAGCTAGGGATCCCATACGTAGGTGGTAGCTTGTGGATTATTGGTGAAATCGGGCAGTAGACTGGGAAGCTTCAACTATATGAGTATATCTATGGATATGATTAGGGCTTGGAATGGTTTTGTACATATATTGTTGCAATCAACAAAAAATAAAGAAACCTCATATCGACATAACACGGGTAGGTTAATTGTGGAGCAATTATTGTAATTAAAATGTAATTTGCAAAAATACATAATACTTTAAAAGTCCTTCTGGCACGTTATGAATTAATGACACAAGATATTATATTATTAACTAGTTCCATTAAAGAAGTACGTACTAACATAATTATGCAGGTAAATTACAAAATAGCGACCACGTGCCTAAATAAATCAAATACTACGATTAACAATACTTTTATGGGTTTTTCATATATTCGCGCAAGCGTTTTGCTGTTTTAAATTGAAAGAAATAAATAATTGTCAAAGAAAAAGTGAAATTGTAAAAATTTCGAATAAGATCTCTTAAAAATTAATTTTAATACGATATATTCTGACCAAGGCAGTGGTAGCCCAATGGTAACGCGCTCGCTTGGGAAATCGAGTGAAGCGAGTTCAAATCCCGGATCTCGCACCTATGATATTTTCATGTGCGAATCATTTCCAACATGATTACCACTTGTCTTAACGTCTTAACGGTGAAGGAAAACATCGCGAGGAAATCTGCATGTCTGATAGCACCTAGCAAGTTTTCGAAAGACACGTGAAGTCCGCCAACCCGCACTTGGCCAGCGTGGTGGACTATGGCCTGACCCCCCTCGTATTGAAGGGAGCGCCGCGCCCAGCAGTGGGCTGTTAAAAAGGGTCGAATGCATATTCTGACCCTTATCTCGTGTCAATATGCACGGTGTTTTAAGTTGTTTTGTCATCTTTTAAAGACTTGATTATAATTTGGTTTTGATTTTGCTTTTTGCTTTCTACAGTCTCGATCGTTTGAATAACAAGTTGTGTAGTTTGGTGTAGAATAATAAATGAAGTAATTTTTTTTACTCGACTGCTAACGAATGTATGTCATAGGAAGCACGATATAAGAATTTGATTAAATGAAAAATAAAAACTTGAAAATAAAACGACTTTCAAGCAATAAAATGTAAAAATAGCTAAACGGGGGTTTTCATTTAGAATAGATCTACCTTATCAGATACCTTCGATCTCGGTGCCAGCTGATGTAAAGCAAATTTAATATAAATTAATTATCACAAATTGATGTATAATATTTTAATTATAATTACATTTCATACCTAATCATATTTACCTATTAAATATTCATATCTTAAAATATTGTTGGCTGGCACCGACTTCGAAAATATCTGATATCTAAGTATTCTAAATTAAAAGCCCCGCTTAGTTTTACATTTTAGTGCCTGGAAGTCGGTTTTTTAAAGCTTTTATGTTTCTATTTTTAGTGTAGACAAGGTACTTACTTTTTATTCCGGAAAAATATACGGTTCCCGACTCGGGATAGATTTGTTTTTGTTTTTCCGCTAGTATGATATAAAATGCAAAAAATGTGCCTTAAAGCAAACACTTACACAGCTCTATAATAATATTTTATTATGTAGTTATGAATAGATCTGGTAGCAAATATTTTGGTGCTGTGTAATAGGTATGGTAAGTAAAGGTTAATTTAAGGGGTATTTTTCCCAGATTGCGTCCTTCATCTGATTAATCTGGCCAAAAATTATTTTCATTTTTGGCTCTATTCAATATACTCTTGTGATTAAAGACATGCCAAGTAATTTTTGGCCAGACTAATCAGATGAAGGACGCAATCTCGGAGAAATACCCTAATAACATTGTCTTTGTTACCTGAATCCGAATTAGCGTTCAGACTGGTTATGTTTGCATTTTGGAGTTCCTCTCGTCTTGCTTCAATTACTTTGCGAGTCTGTGAGTGAAGAATATCTAATACCTCATCTTGTTTTTTTTTATATGGTAGTAAATTGAATATTGCATCTTCTCCAACAAAAACGTTTTGCATCCGTAATGTTATAATTTTAGCGATTCTAAAATAAAAATATATAAAGTCGTATAAATACCTTATTTTTTAACTATTGTTAGGATAACTAGCGACTCGCCCTCGCTCTACTCAGGTAGCATTTTTGATAGTTAATTATTGTTATTAATCATAAGAGTGTCTGGTACACGGTGAGATCATAAAGATTATTTATATATTTGTTGTATGCAGTTAGAATAAAATCTAATTGAGTTTTCAAACATATGTCAAAATAAAATGTAATTTAAATCAAAAGCACTAAGGAGTATTGATACTCGTATCAACTTCAAAGCAAATCACACCCAAAATAAATTTCTAACTCTTTTTAACCCCGTTAGGGGATAAATTTCAATAAAATACGAAGCACGTCTTCCATCAATTCTGTTAAAGAATGTTTATGCAAAATGTGAAGTAGATTGGACCAAAGAATCGCGTTGTCCCATAAAAACTTTGCCTCTCTTTTTCAACCCCTAAGGGGCAAAATTTCGGAAAATACTTTCTCATCGGATGCCTATATCATACAAAGAACGCAGTCTTCAAGTTTCAGGTCTCTACGATAAGTGGTTTAGGCTGTGCGTTGATCTGTCAGTCATCCAGGACATAGCATTTTATATGTATAGATGTATCGAAGAAGACAAGTAACCACTTGATTAAGTTATATATATAGTGATACATTTGCAAGTTATGTTTAAGTACCAAAGTAATGAAAGGCCCAAAAGACAGATTTCGTATATGTACTTATTATCTATATATTATTATTATTATTTTCGGTTATGCATCGGATATTGCATGAATTTCCCAACTATTCTGCAGGTGTTTAAAATGGCAGCTTTTTGCAGATTTATGTAGATGTTATTTATTAAATCTATTAGTTTCCGGCTTCGAATAAGATGGGTGGAGATGACGCACGTCGTAAAGCGGTCTGTAGGGATAACATGAATTTTTCTTGTCTCCAGATTCTTGCAACTTCTTCTGCTTATATGCTTATTTTTCAGATACCGCTTTTTGTACGTTATAACTTATGAGTGCTAGGAACCGCAATGTCTATCAGGTAAATGGTTTTTCTTACTTTATCCTGTACATCTATGTCCGGTCTATTATAGTGAATAGTTCTATCTGTGAATACGGCACGAGCGTAATACAGTTTATGTGTGTCATTTTCCAGAATAATCTGTGGTGAGCGTTTATAGTATGGTGTGTTAGTGTTTTGTATGAGAGAGTGTGAGTACTATTTTGTTAACTTGTTCTCATATTTTTAGTTCGTTATATATGTTATGTACCTACAGCGTAGGTACTGTGTGTGAATAATTAACAGTATTTTTAGGTTTACTTATCCTTATAATTTATAATTATAGTATATAATAAATAGTAGGTATATTTATAATTTAGATACTCATACTATATAGTAGGTGCCTGTATATACTTATATTTTTACTATTTGATTTGTGAAAAAGCGATTTGTTAAAGATATGCAAGATCGCGAGATTAAAATAGTGGCCATTTTTGTTTACTTTAAAAAAATGATTTATCCTAGAGATAAAGAGAGATATATTAATAATATTATATTCTTTTATATTATGCTGAAGCTTAACGCCGTTACGTGGTTAACCTTGACTTTAAATAAATTCGACTTGACGTGCATATAATTTCGACACACGTTTACCGACACAATTTGAAAGACATTTTTATTACCTACAAGAATGGTAGCCATCAGTTTAATATTTAAAGGTATGGATATAAGTGATTTTTTTTTCTTCACGAATTTTACCCTTACGAGGTAAACATCGAAGATTTAGTTAGGTACATATTAGCACAGATCATATATTACTATACTAGCGATATTAGACTCGTGTTCGCTTTTCACTAAGACTTTAAAAAATCAAGTACCTACATGACTTTAGTAGACCTAATTATTGATTAAAATATTAACTTAGTACGGAAATCGACCTCGCGACTTATAATAATAATGTCCTTCCGACCGACGGCTTTACGTGCTCTCCGAGGTACATGGGTGAAACACCGACAACTTCCCAACACCGGCCTGTTACTGTGACTTCCTTCATAGAAAGACTCAATAACTAAACTTGGCCCGACCTGGAACTCGAACCCAGGACCTTCGGATGTGCAGCCGTACATGCTAGCCACTTCTCTACCAAGGCAGTCGTGACCTAATCCAAGTGTCTAATTGATCATACCTTATATATAAATAAGTATATAATTAGATTGCCTTATATATAAGGTATGATCAATTAGAATCATATTGGTGCACGCCTGAACACTCGACAGGCCTCATACTCGTAATATTGTACATTAATATGAATGAATAAAAAGTAAACGTACTCATGAATAGCTTTAACATATTTGGATTTAGTGTTTTTCTGAGCATCGATGCTGACTCCCATTATTGATTCTGCAATGAAAATAAAAAGTGAAGTTTCCATTTTAACGTTTAGTATATATTTCTCAGAGATGACACATTTTCCCGCAGTAAAAAGTATCCTATATGTTGACCTGGAAAACCAGCTTATCATCAAAATCTGTCTAGTCGTTTTCTCGTGATGTTGACGTTCCTAGAAAGATAGACAGACAAAAATTCTAAAAACTATAGATTCGGCCTCTGTATCGATAATAATGTCTATTTCAATAAAATTTTCAAAAAAATGATGTATGTACCTATAGAGATTATAAAAAAACTGTTTTTCTCATAAAAAAAACTTATCAAATAAAGTGTGTTTCATTAGATATTTTAAGTCAATTATTAATTTATAGTTTCTATACGTAGCGTTACTAGTCGATCACTAATTATTTCGACAATGTCGCATTTCGCTGAACATAAAAGAATGCAGATACCTGTAACATTGTCAAGAGCGGTCAATGCGATGGTCGAGAAAACGCTGAAAGGTTTACCATCTGCATAGTTTTGTAATTTTTTTATCAATATCTTCTCATTTTTCAAGAACACCGGTAAAAAGTTTTGCAGAATATTGAAGTGAAATGCTGGTGTCAAAAATTTTCGCGTTAACCTCCATCGGGTACCTAAAAAGAGGGTTAGAATATTAATGTTATCCATTACATATATAAAATATAATTTGTAACTGCATATTTCAAGAAGATAAGGGTTCGTGTGAGTATTTCGTATATTGCTATTTGCTAACAGAAAAAATCATAGGCGTGTCCATTTCACCAAATATGTATTCATTTTTATTATTCACGTTTCTTAAAAATGGTATAAAAAAGTTGATTTAAAAATACAGAAATATTAAATTTTAAATAAAAATTAAATCGCGTAAATCTAACGTTCTATAATACTTTCTTAGATTTACGCGAATATTTGACATTTTAAATAAAACTATCTTTTCGGATTTTGTCGCGGATTTATTTGGATTTTTGTTTCCCGACGTTTCGAATGCTTTACAGCATCCATGGTCACGGGAGAGACTGAGGTGTTACATGTCTTGAATGTATAGTTGTTACAGACAGCCTACCCACAATTAACAAAATGAAAATTGCACCAATTACATTACAATATTTTTTAACTTTAAACATTTTTATAATTTTAATTATAATTGAATATGGAAAATTATTTATTTAATTTTGCTATTATTTTTATAATTATTACAATTTTAAAATATTAATTAGTAATCTATATTTAGTGTTGCCATTATTATATTTATAACCATAAAGAAAAATATAAAATGTAGTATTAATTATTAAAACCATATAATTGTTCTATGTGTAATTTAAAAGTTAAAATTAATTAAGGATAATAATTTTAATTTAGTTTGCTATTATTTAAAAAACAACTTACTAAGCAACACTATTAATATATACTTTTACAAATGAAAAATGAAAAATATTAGTCTGATAAGCTGTCATTTTGATCTACACAGTATGAACTTACTACATCTGCCTGTCTGTTATGTTTATATTTATTATTTGATTTTATTATATTAATAACAGGATCCCATGACGATGGTAGTACCCAGCCATCTTCCCTATTGAAATTAGGATGTTTTTTAATTTCTATGGCTTCTCGAATCATTCTAGGGCGATATCGGTTTTCTTTCGCCAGGATTTGAGGTCTATCGAAGCGAATATAATGGCTTGGGCGGTCCTGACTATGTTTGCAGACAGCAGATGTTGTATTGCGACGGTGCTTCACATCAGCTATGTGTTCTTTGACCCGGGTTCTAATGGATCTCTTTGTTTGTCCGATGTAAGAGAGCCCACAATCACAATCAAGCTTGTAAACTCCTGCATCTTGTAGAGGGATGTGGCACTTGACAGGTGGTAGAACTGACTTCAAGCCGCCAAAGAAAATTAGTCAGTTTCTACCACCTGTCAAGTGCCACATCCCTCTACAAGATGCAGGAGTTTACAAGCTTGATTGTGATTGTGGGCTCTCTTACATCGGACAAACAAAGAGATCCATTAGAACCCGGGTCAAAGAACACATAGCTGATGTGAAGCACCGTCGCAATACAACATCTGCTGTCTGCAAACATAGTCAGGACCGCCCAAGCCATTATATTCGCTTCGATAGACCTCAAATCCTGGCGAAAGAAAACCGATATCGCCCTAGAATGATTCGAGAAGCCATAGAAATTAAAAAACATCCTAATTTCAATAGGGAAGATGGCTGGGTACTACCATCGTCATGGGATCCTGTTATTAATATAATAAAATCAAATAATAAATATAAACATAACAGACAGGCAGATGTAGTAAGTTCATACTGTGTAGATCAAAATGACAGCTTATCAGACTAATATTTTTCATTTTTCATTTGTAAAAGTATATATTAATAGTGTTGCTTAGTAAGTTGTTTTTTAAATAATAGCAAACTAAATTAAAATTATTATCCTTAATTAATTTTAACTTCTAACGTTCTAGTTAATTATACCAGTACCAGTAAAGTAACTAAGCACTGGCTCAGCAAGTAGGGTAATTACAAACTGAGCCAAACGTGTCGTCAAAATACATTAAGGTAGCTGTCCGTAGTATTAAAATATAGATATGTATTAAAATAAAGAATGGACAATGTATTATTTTTCATCAATTTGTGTATTTTTAAATAGATATATATTTAAAAAAATATCTTTCAAGTAGATATTTCTTTGTATCTACTGTAACAAAATTGCGTAAACTTTTACGACATTCTTTTAATCTGAAATTCGAAGGTCCCAATAAACCAAATATACCTACATAACTTTAAAGCCTTTAAAGGCTGATGCTAATAAAAATATTGCAGCTCAAAAAAATATGCGTCCTCTAGCCCTAGAATCTGAGACTTCCTGCGCTAAAGTCGCTCAACGGATAAGAACGATTACGAGCTAAAGGCAGTCTCCCTCGTAGAGTTCCAGACGTTCTTAAAGTCTTCAAGAAATCATGTACCTAACCGTATATATTCACATAATACTTTCTTAGATTTACGCGAATATAACATTTTAAATAAAACAATCTTTTCGGATTTTGTCGCGGATTTATTTGGATTTTTGTTTAAAGTTAAAAAAATATTGTAAGGTAATTGGTGAAATTTTCATTTTGTTATTTGTGGGTAGGCTGTCTGTAACAACTATACCTTCGAGACATGTAACACCTCAATCTCTCCCGTGACCATGATTGCTGTAAAGCATTCGAAACGTCGGGAAACTAAAATCCAAATAAATCCGCGACAAAATCCGAAAAGAAAGTTTTATTTAAAACGAATATATTCATGTAAAACTTTGTGTTTGGTTACGGTCGAACTGTCGTAATATTTTTATAGACTAGCTATCCATATCAACTTGCCTAATTTCATTTAAATCCATGCAATAATTAGATCTTGATTGAATTCTAATTCTAATAAATATCACTTTTTTTTATAAATACGTTAAGGAGTGAGTCTTTATCTGTTCGGTGGCAAAGGTGTTTTGCAAATTTACAACCAAGTTGAACAATCATCATAAGATCATCGATCGTATCATCAGAACATTACATTTACATAGAATTATCTCTCTAAATTTAAATATTACACTACTAATGCATTTTCTAAAATCAAGCAAATGGATTCCGAATTAAACCAAAGAAAAGATTCCGGTCGTTCAATTTACCTCCTCCTTTTTGGAAGTCGATTAATATATAACTGACTTTTATTCGTATAAGTTCAATGACATACGACACACGCCTCCCCCTACTGTTTAGGTATATATACATATATTACTTATTAGGTACAATTTATAAAAAAGATAACAATAAATGTGACCCCAAAAGCATGTAATCTATTGTGGTGTAAACATCCGTTTATGCAAAACAGCTGATCTCTTAAATTTCTTCATCGATTTCTTTGACATATATATATATATATATATATATATATATATATATATATATATATAAACACCTGTATATATACGTCATATGTGTTTTTACATGGAGATTCGTCATTCACCGATCGCATGGGAATTGCTATTGGAGTACATGGAATTTACGCTTAATACTACTATAATAATAATAATTAGATATAATAATAGATAATTAGATGTAACTCGCCACTAGATTTAACGTGACGGAGTGAGAGCAACACGTGGGCAATTACGAACCATTGTGTTGTGATAAAACAACTTTGTTATAATCCCAAGTACCTTCTTGCAGCGAAAAACGATAAAACATTAAATTTAAATTACAACTTGTTAATCTTAATCGATCATCGATTTGTTGCATACAATGTAAATAACTGTCTCAATACATTGTAGTACCTAATGCAAATGTGTGCAAGTAATCTTTCAAATTAGGAAAAAGTAATGTTTTACAAATCTAATTTCTGTTGATAATTATATATATTATATAATAATATGTAGTAGTATGTATATATTATATAATAATATGTAGCTTAGTTCTCCATACAAACTTTCATACCTATTTTCACGCCTTTAAGGGATGATTTCCGGGATAAAAAGTATCCTATGTCCTTCTCGGGGTCTCAAACTATCTTATTACCAAATTCCATCTTAATCGGTTCAATAGATCCAGAGATTACCCCCTACAACGTCACAAACTCACAAACTCACGATTCACAAACTTTAACTCTTTATAATATTAGTAATATATAGATTCAGCCCTTCTTAACGCCCTACTGCAGGGCACGGTAATCCCTCAATACGAAGGGGATCAGGCCATAGTAAAATACAAATGCTTTATTTGGCAAGTAATACTTAAATTCTTGTAGGGTGTATTCAATGGTAGCCTATGTGTCCAGGTTATAGTCATCTTTACACGAAAGTTCATCTAAATCAGAGTAACAAATATACATACACATAGTAGTCCGATAACAAGTCAATTATTAATTATTATTATAGTATTTTTTATAATATGGTCAAAGAAATTCGCAGAGTAGGTAACGTCAGTATCATTGCATTGCAGCACTAAAAGATCAAAGTACTGTTCATCACCATTGTTATTATTTAATAGCGACTCACCCACACACATAATCATGATGAGTTTTACTTGAGAAATGATTGATTCCACATACAAATTTCCACCCCCCTTTTCACTCTTGAAGAGATAATTTCTGGGGTAAAGACTATCCTATGTCCTTTCCAGGGTCTCAAAGTATCTCCATACCAAATTTCGTCTAAATCGGTTCAGCTGATTAAGCGTGAAAATGTAACAGACATACAAACAAACAGAGTTACTTTCGCATTTATATTCAGTATGGATTATGAAATCTGTGTGAATTTAACATTTTTATAACATTGCGAGCGACCCTTGCTTCACTCGGGTGTGTCTAATAATAACGTATAATGTATATGTTACTCCAGCCAGCCAGAGCCAGTTGAGTCAGTGCGAAGAAGTAACAAACTAATATACCTATAGGTTCAGTATACTCACATGCAAATATTCGCATTTATTACTTACTTCACGTTGCTATTAGTTCGATATTTTTATGCACTAGTATGATACTCTCACATTCTTTTATTTACCTGTAGAAGTAAGCAATCCATTTCCAAGCCATGGTCGAATGTAATTGTATGATCTGCCTTTGGTTATTAGTTCCGCATGAGACACCAAGGCCTGTAAATTAGTAGTTTGTTATAGCTAAGACAGGTAAGTTTTTATAAACATGTATATATATTGTACATATATTGACACAGTATAGTAACTCAAATGCATTGAAATTCATGTGCAGCTAATAGTGCAGAACGAGCTGAAAAATAGATATCAGTTGCCAATTTATAATAATCACACAACAGCAACTATTAGTATGTAGTAAGTCTGTTGACGAGTGATCACTTGAAGATCGAGATGAAATGCGAAGAAGTAAAGTGGAGTGGAGGGATAGAGGAAGTGAAATAAGTAATGTAAAATAGTGTTCAGTCACGGACGGAATATTGCTAATAATACTGTATGAAAACTACGAGTGTATTAGTAGCATTAAAACATCAATAGTGCAAGTAAAGAGGTTGACTTTCCGATCGCCGAGTTCTAAGAGTCTGGTCAAAATAAACAAAAAAATAATTATAGATTTACAATAATTCGCATATAACTGAAAACTGGTACAAGTCTTAGGTAGACTATTACAAATATAAAAAAAATATAAAACAATACTTAATTTAAACGGTTTTATTGAAAAGAAAGATAATAATGATGTAAATAATGTACTAGAAGATAAAAAGATAGGTAGGTTCTAGCTAGGTACCAGTCATCACACCACTCTCCTCATCAATCTAGATTCTAGGGAATTGATCAGACTCAAAAATAAAATCGTTGGATGCGTGAAATTGAAACTGGTGCCTAGGACCTTCCTAATTATTTTTTAGCTTTTATTACATTATCTACATCATTATTAAAACCGTTTAACTTAAAAAACATTTTAACTTATTTTATTTTCAAGTTTTTATTTTTAACTGTCTGTCTGTCTCTTTGGGTTGTGAAAAAATATGTAATGCGGCATATAAATGGCGGCATTTAGTTGGCGGCCATATTGGATTTACAATGATATTTAAAAATGTCAAAAATTCTTACTGACCCCACATCTGCAAAAAAATATTATTATAAATTAGGCCTGTTTCACTTCTATGTGATTTATTGTAAATTACAATGAAAATTTTGACTGTATAACTTGTATCAGTGTAAAGATATATTGTAGACCTGTATATTATGTATAGTATTGTATTTGCCTCGTTATTCAATTCACTCCATTCTATTTGCTCGCTTCGTATATATAACGTATTCTACAACCACGAAACATAATACCCGCTTAGTACCAAGTATCGACTATATGATAGGAGCAAATGAAATGAGTTTTTAATAAAACAATTATACCGACTGTATAATCATTTTAGGGGTAGAAATATTAATACAACAAAATTGTGTCTATTAAATAATGAAAATTGGTTTTTGCGTTGCGCTTAGTAACATAACATACACCGAAAAACATAGGACACTATCTTACCACTCCCTTTTTTGCAGTCGGTTAGTAAAATTTATTTAAATAATTTAACAATAATTTATAAGAAAAAGCTTAGTTTTCACGAGCTTTTCGTCGTCGATCAGCTTTTTGGCTCTGCGTTCCACCGAGTCAAGAGCAACAAGTTGGTATTTTGCAGAGGTGACTACAATACTCCATGCATGATCGGACTTGAGCTTTGTATAAAGTGAGAAGCTGTTCAGGCGTGAAGTATCGCTTAACCTTGTTTAGGATAGGTTTTCTGGTCGTAGTCTGTGCCTTCGACTCGATGTCATATAAATATAATAAATACTAACCTCAATGTATTTTGGATGAGAAAACACTACATAGGCACTATGAAATAAATGTACTAGGTAGACGTGTCCATACTTTTTTCGAATTTGCCCCAGGATACGTAAAAACTCTGTAACAATAGATCATATTTTTTAATCTTAATTTAATAAATATACCTACATTAAATTAAATTTTTGTAGGTATAGTTAAAAAACTTAAAAAAAAATAGGAAATAAAAACCGACTTCCAAGCACTAACATGTAAAGAAAAACTAAACGGGAGTTTTCATTTAGAATAGGTACCTAACAGATATTTTAAGTAGGTGCCAGCTGATGCAAAGTAAATCCAATATATTTCGATACGTAAAATACATCACAAACTGATGGATAATATTTGAACTACATATAATAACTAGAGTTCATACCTAATCATATTTACCCATTAGATATTCATATCTTAAAATATTATCGGCTGGCACCAACTTCATAAATATCTAAGAACACTTGGACTAATGAGACGAATCTAACGATACCTTAATTAAAGAAATCCATCGAGTGGTTTGGTAGATATGAGGGAATAAAGAATATTACAAATAAACATACAAAGATAGGCGCGGAAAACATAACCCTTTCCTTGCAGTCGGGTAAAAAAAGATTCTAACGAATTCAGAACCTCCTCATTTTTGGAAGTCGGTTAAAAACAATAATGGTAGCTTAATGATTATTAACATTTTAACTTGTAAAATTGTCGCTGATATTGTATAGCAGCCATACTCAACCTTTTTTTTATAGGAGCCACAAACACGTTTCAGTCATGCTGTGGATGGAGGCCGCAAGCAAAAATTATTTAGGTCTTAATGAAAACGTAATTCCCAGTTAACGATGTAGTTACTTCTTTAACAAAGATATGTTATAATGCGGTTTTTGATGCTGCCGCATGCGGCCCCCGAGTTTCAGGTTGAGTATAGCTGTTGTATGGGAACGCGCGTAGCGGGTCAACTGTCAGATTTTTTAAATAAGTACATATGTATGATAAGCAAACACGTGCCTATTTCATTGTCTATTGTTGTATTTTCAATTAATACATTGTTGATTTCTTTCAAAAGGTAAATCCTTTCTTATAGTAGGTATTTTAAAGCGTAGTGTTTTAATTTTAACTACTATTAGGTAGGTGTTTAACATTAATCGTTGTCTCTATTATAGGGATTCTCATAATTTATTGGACTAAGTGGAGATTGCATGTTCTATGGGTTACATAAAATTTTATCTATACACATAATAAAATTGTAAGTCAGCCGAATCTGTACATTACATATTTTTTGGAAAATCTTATTGAAATAGACATTATTACCGATCCAGACGCCGAATCTATAGTTTTTAGAATTTTTGTCTGTCTGCCTGTTTGTCTGTCTGTCTGTTACCGCATCATGGAAAAACCACTGGAGGGATTTTGATAAAATTTGGTATGATGATAGCTGGTTATCCGGGTCAACATATAGGATACTTTTTACAGCGGGAAAATATCTCATCTCTGAGAAATCGATACTAAACCTTAAAACGAAAGTAGGGACGAACCCGAGTGAAGCGAGAGTGAGTCGCTAGTTTTGCTATAAGTTCATAAGTAATAAGTTCGTAAGTAATGAGTCGTAAGAACGAAATCGGTACCAAATCGCAAGTAGGTACCAACAACGCCATCCGGGTATTAGATGCGTGATTTTGTTTACGAATTTTAAAAGAGTGGGGTTTCCCACTGGTTTGTTTTCTGTGTATAATTATTTATTGGCCATCCACTTGATAAAGACCCATTGTTCTAAGTTCAAGTTCTTACTACATTTACATATCGTTTTCTGATGGAGCTGTAAACATTGTATCATTTATTTATAACGAAAAATATATCTTTGACCCCACTGCCATAAGTTAATGTATGCTAGGTGTACTCTTTAGGAGAAACTATAATATTTTAATAATATATCAGAACATATTTTGTAAGGCAAAGCTAAAACATCTTTAATAATTTCAATTCAATTCAATTTTCAATGGATTTTACCCACATAATACTATAAATAAATGGAAGACTTAGATATATCGTATTACAGGTTTCTATATAAAAAGGGAGCCATTTCACCATAGTACCTATTTAATTATTATTATACGCTCGGTAACCTGTCTTAGCTTGGCGCCAGTTCGACCTGTCTTTGGAACAGACTAAATAGTAAATACCAGTTGCGAAACAAAATACATAACTTAAGGTATATCTATACTAATATTATAGTGGTAAAGTTTGTGAGTTTGTGACGTTGTAGGGGGTAATCTCTGGATCTACTGAACCGATTTAGATGAAATTTGGTAAGAAGATAGTTTGAGACCCTGGGAAGGATATGGGATACTTTTCATTCCGGAAATCATCCCTTAAGGGAGTAAAAATGAGGACGAAAGTTTGTATGGTGAATCAAGCTAGGAAGCGAAGGTGAGTCGCTAGTGTAATTATATAGCCCTTGTTTTTTTCTTCTTTACAGCTTCACAAATTCAAATCATCATTACTTACAATAGAAAATGTATTTGACGTCGTATATTGAAAATAATGAGCTACACTGGTTACATATTAACAGCTTAAAAATATGTTCGAAATAACGAGTTCTCAATCCTTCAAAAACTAGTTTTATTGATAAACTTCAAGAAGAGCAGGTTTTTTAAATGGAATAGGTGTATGATATTTAGCACAGAGATTATTTGCGTTCTTTTCTGTATGTTTGTTATTGTAAATTAATTTTCATAACTTTGTTTTTAACCCACTGCGACGAAGCCCAAAGGAGTGTATGTCATATGTGTTTGAACTGTATGTATGTACGTCGTTAGATTCGTCCTTATGGAAAATATCTGATTAGGTATCTATTCAAATGAAATCCTCCGTTTAGTATTTTTTTATATTTTAGTGTTTGGAAGTTTGTTGTTGGTTTTGAAGTTTGAGTGCCGGTTTTTTTTAAGTTTTTAGTTTTCCAGTTTTAGTGTAGACGTAATAAGCAGGTAATTTGTAAGAAGAAAGTTTTTCAAGGACATATTCGATTAAACAATTTATTTAAAAAAAAATATTGTTGATTTTTTTAAAAACCGCTGGACCGATTTCGATAAAATTTATATGAGACCACCTGGGAACTATACCCTTTGAAACGAAAATTTCCAAATCGGTTCAGGCGTCTTCGAGTAATCGATGAACATACATAAAAAAGTAATTTAAAATCTCTCTACCATTTAATTTTAATAGTATTTATTTACTATTAATAAAAAATGATAAAAAAAACCTACATAAAAATTTCCTAATTCTACTACAATAATTATTAATTTTTAATTATAGTAAGTGCATACTATTTAAGTGTAATGTTACAAGCTTTTTTATGTACTATTTTTAATTTCACTTATAAAATTTATATCTAAATTATAATGCTAAAATTATGAATAACTAGCAGCATAAATAACTAGCTAGAAAAACAAAAACTAATCTATCCCTCGGGAACCGTATATTTTTCCGGTATAAAAAATAGCCTATATACTATTCCAAATTATAATCTATCTCTGTGCAAAATTTCATCCAGATCCATTCAGCCGTTCTGGCGTGAAAGAGTAACAAACATCCATACATACTTACAAACTTTCACATTTATAATATTTATATACAGATTAAGATTTATTTTAAACTTACGTGACTGTTTGCCAATGAATAAGTGTCCATTTCCTAATACAGGAATCGGTCGTGGTCCAGAAAAATTAAACTTTTTACAATCGTTTATCAAATGTATCCAGGAAGCCAAAATAAGGAGTGTTACCAACAGCAAAATTAATAAAGTAATCATTATAAATTTTTTCTTGAAAATCACTCGAACCTCTGATAATTATTTACGTATTTATTAATCGGAATCACAAAATTTACGTCCACTCTTCAACGTTGAATATCAATGACTGTTTGCGAATCGAAAGAACATAATTTAATTGAGTTTTGTTATTTATGAATTTGTAATTTTAAATTAACGTAGATTAAACAACACATTAGGCACAACTGATTTATGTACTTACTTAATTATAATAAAAAAAATATCTCTATACATGTATATTGTATATAATAAAATAGTATGAAAGCGAAATTTGTACGTGAAATGTTTTTTAATAACAATGACTTACTTTCTGTACAGAATATAGACCCCAAGGCCCAAAACGATAGTGTATGTCTGAGAAATAGATATAAGAAAAATATTAAATGTCTGTTTCTCTGTATATCTGTGTGCGTATCATGCAAAAAGTACTAAACCGATTTTTAAACTTTTTGTGTATTTACTCGGGTCAACATTTAATATACCTTTTAATACAGACCTAAACACAATGGACTAGTAAAATTGTAGGTCTAATAAAGTCCGTGATAGCGCTATTTAAAATGTACTTATGGACGTATCCCAGTGAAACGAGGTTAAGCCACTTACTTGTATGTAATAATTAAACAAATATTTCAAATTAAGAATTATATTCAAGACTCGTTCGGACGTGTCCCTAGTTTCAACATAAGAAATAAATTTCCATAAAGCCTTCTTTCAGCGTGAGCCCTTTCAATTTCGAGGATAAAGAATACACTAAATGAGAACTAAGCAATAAATAAAATTCATAATTTTTCATATAGCTATTTTCCCTTCTCACGGAGAAACCACATCGTTTTTCGGGCTAAAAAGTTCCCTGTAGGGTACTATTACATGGGTACACAAACTATTATTGTGATAAAAAACCGTTTGGTAGTTTTATCTGAAATGCGAACAAATTAGCACATAGACGGACACATAGACTGCGAGACAGACATTTTTTCTACAAACTGATACATATTGTTCTCGTTACGGATTTACGATGCTGATATATACTTTTTTATCCTAATCGGACTGCTTCTATGTGAATAAATACGAAAGTTTGTGTGTGCGTGCATGCTACTGGACAGACTTGAATGATATTATATATTAAACGCTACTCTGTAAGGCGCCCGTGCAAAGTAAATGTAAGTCGCTAGTACCTAATACGTCAAAACTCATAAAACCTTACCTCTTTACAATAAATTTTTAAAAATTATTATTGATACCTGTTTATTTTTATAACCCTTATATTACTATTACTTACAAATAAATTGTCAATAGTAAGGTCCCTTAGTAATTTAGCACTATAGTTTAACAATATTTGTATCTACGATAATTATGTACGTAACTAGCTATTGTTAGCTTTGATCTATATTTAACGGTTATTCTGTCGTGTGAAAGTATAAACAATACATTTATAAAAAAACATCGACAAATATATAAGTAGATAAAATATACAGCAAAGATAACCTTTGATTATTAAAATAGATATGTTTGGTATCACAAAATGATAGACATCGTTATGAGATTATTGACGTAAGGGTAGACTTTTGTTTGAAGGTGGGAATTCCAGATGTAAATATTGATTCAATCAATTCAATTCTTTGTTATTTGGCTTTTAGGTGTGCTATTTGGACACAGATTACTTCGCCAATGTCGTGTAGTAAATATTGATTACTGCCTCAGTGGTGTAGTGGCTAGCATGTACGGCTGCACACCCGGAGGTCCTGGGTTCGAGTCCCGGGTCGGGCCAAGTTTAGTTATTGAGTCTTTCTGTATAGTAAGTCTCAGTAATAGCCCGGAGTTGGGAAGTTGGCGGTGTTTCACCCCCGTGCCTCGGAGAGCAAGTAAAGCCGTCGGTCCTGCGCCTTAACTCTCACTGGTCGTGTCGAGCAGTCGTCCCACCGGAGTATGAGAGTGACAGGAAGAGAGAGTGCACGTTGTGTCTGCGCGTACACTTGTGCACTATAATATCTCCAGCGCAGTTGGCTAGTCTCATTGAGATTGGCCGCCGTGGCCGGAATCGGCTAGGAGAACATAATTGATTACTAGATTTCAAAGTTTGAGAGTTTTGTTGTCCCATTGACACGGATGACTATAGGGATCATGCCCGAACTGTAGAGGACAGCACTTCTGTCGAAAGTAGAGTGCCCTGGTGTTAAATAAGAAAAACATAGTGATGTAAACAGTGTAATGTATATTTTTTATAGTTATGCCTAAATAATGCAAAAAATAATAAAATTTGGTTTTTTACCGATAAAAAATGATTGGATTAGAGTCAAAACGATAAAAAAGGCCAAAAATTATTTGAATCAGGTCATGTTTTAAATGTAATTAAAACATTTAAAACATGAAAATTATTTTTATAATTTGACTGTATGGAGATATTGAAAATATTAGAAATTTAGTAAATTTAAGCTTTTTCAAAAGTATTTTAAACGTTGAAGATTTTGCTACAGATGTTTAAAAATTTCGAAGTATGATGATTATTATGTATTATTTTCAATTTTTTTTTGAAAAATCTGCTAATAAAAAATATTATTTTTAGTTCTATAATAATTAATAATCTTTTATTATTTATATAGAAAAAAATTAGAACTTGACTAATACCAGCCAACTGTAGTATCTGATTATACACAAAATAATAATTAAAATTGATAAAAATGTTTAATTGGAAGATTGTACTTACGCGTGGTTTTTTACTACGTTTATTCAATTTTGACGTTTGAAGGCTATACACACAGTGTTCAATGAACTTTTGGGGAAACGATAAAATTTCAAATGCGTATTATTTTTATACGGCATATTTGAACAACTACGAATACAGCAAGATACTATTGATGAAGACATCACAAACACTTATTTTAATTAACAAAAAATAATTAATTAAAAACGCTGATAATGCAAAACTAATGCTGTTTGCCATCACTTTGTTTGTGTTTTTTCCTAGCAGATGGCATAATCATCATCTTTCTCACTCCCAATTGCGTTTAAAGTTTTATGTTCTTGATGATTTTTAGTGTTACTATGGTGGTATTGTAAACAAATCAAATATATTATATTTTTTTAAAAGCTAATCACATTATATCCTTATATTAATTAAAATACACATATTTAAAGAAAATCCACTATCTGTATAGAATATAGATAATAAAAATATATAAATAAGTATCCAAAACCATTCAGTACCTTAGCAATGTCAATATGTTTTTACATTTAATTTTTTTTAAATTATTTGTGTTTTTTTAACATTATCCGTATAAGGGTCATTCTACGATATGAGGTAATGTGTACGGCAATCATTATAAATAGCTTTTTTATTCTACGTCTTGTCATTTTATGCAATAAATCACAGCATCTTAATGTATTTTACGAGTAACATTATGATTAAATGCCCAATAATTAAAGTACATTTTCCTGTTCCATATTTAAGTCTGAAAAAGTCTCTACTCTGGCTTGTCCCTTGACATTTTTAGTTAAACATGCAGACAATACATACCTTCTTTGTCACAATTGCCAAATTAAAGTATATTTATCACGAACTTAATTAAGTATACATAAGTATTATAAATGTAAAACAAAACAATATTTGTTTATTTTCAATAACTTTCGAACTTCATTTTAGTCCCGCTTTTTTGTGTATCGTGTATCTACCCTGGCGAATTTTGGTCCGTTAAAACTAATATAAATATTGGGCGGCCATATTCAAACTAGGGCCCAAGGATGCTTATCAACGTTAAAGTTAGCAATACTAAATTCATTTAATTTATCTGTATTTACTGCCTAAAGTCAACAATACTGTAATAGTTGAGGTGTGATATATTATTAACCTAATATTAACTTATGTCACTTAAAATTAATAAATTTGTCGCGAAAACGTCTCTCCTCTGGCTATTTCCCCTGGCATGATAACTAACAGAAGATACTCACTGACCAGGGGAAATACTTTAGATCACGAGATGTTTGTGCAATCTAATTTAGATATAGCTAACTTCTATCAACGTTCTCAGGAAGCGTTATAAATGATTATGGTAAAAGAAAAGGATTATGATAAAAAAAATAAAAGAGATTCGCGCGATTCTTTGTTTATGATCGGATTTTCATGTTTTTTTTATTAAGTAGGTTTAATATTGTTACAGATCATGGCACCACGCAAAAAGTTAACACGTGAAGAACTGTTGGAGAGGAAGTTGAAGCAAAGACATTACGCTGTCAAAGTAAATTTAATTGAAAAATATTTACTAATTTGAAAATGTAGATGGTGTGCGATTTCTTTGCTTTCGATTGTAGAAAAGTATTATCATGTCCATTAAAGCCGGCAACGCATTCGCAAACCCTCTTACGTGACTCTGATTCGAACCCGGATACCTGTGATTGTCATTCTTGCGCCTAGGCTGCTTGACCACGATGCTTATGCCCGAGCGTGCGAAATTAGCGACCATATTTTGCGTGGAATATTGTGAAACAACCGCATAAAAACTCGAAAACACGCGTTTTTCCAGACATAAGACTAATCTAGATCGATTTTTCGCCCCCGAAAACACCCCATATCAAATTCCAGCGAAATCGTTAGAGACGTTATCTAGAACACTGATATATATTTATACATAGGTACTAGCTGACCCGACAGACGTTGTCCTGTCTACACGTCTTTAATTTGAAAATTTCAAACTTTTTTTAATAAGCTAAAACATTCTGGACCATTTTGATGAAAATTATTATTCAAATTGTGAATCTAAACCATTCTCAGATCCCCTTGAACACACACAAAAAATTTCATCAAAATCGGTCCAGTCGTTTGAGAGAAGTTCAGTGACATACACACTCACACAAGAATTATTTTATTTAAAAATGTGTAACTTATTTTTAAAATATAATTTTATGATTTTAAAAAAGGTTATTTTTAGGGTTCCTTACCTCAAAAGAAAAGAAACGGAACCCTTATAGGATCACTTTGTTGTCCGTCCGTCCGTCTGTCTGTCTGTCAAGATACTTTATCTCGGGAACGCGTGGAGATAATCGAGTTGAAACTTGAAACTGTGAAAAATTCAAACTTCGGCCGTTTATGTCGCAAAAAACGTATATTTCGACACTCTCAACGGAATCAAAATTTATAGGGTACTAGCGGACCCGACAGACGTTGTCCTGTCTACACGTCTTTAATTTGAAAATTTCAAACTTTTTTTAATAATTTTTTTGATGAAAATTATTATTCAAATTGTGAATCTAAACCATTCCCAGATCCCCTTGAACACACACAAAAAATTTCATCAAAATTGGTCCAGTCGTTTAGGAGGAGTTCAGTCACATACACACGCACACAAGAAATATATATATTAAGATAATAAAATTGTAACTAAGCCGAATCTTTACATTAAATATTTTTTGGAAAATCTTATCGAAGTAGACATTATTATCGATACAGAGGCCGAATCTACTATTTTTAGAAATTTTGTCTGTATATCTGTCTGTGCACAAAAATATCTAATTTCTGCAAAATCTATACTAAACGTTAAAACGTAAATAAAAATATATAATATGCACGAATTGCTCGTTTAAAGGTATTAGATAAATGCGAAAGTTTGTGAGGATGTATGAATGTCTGGATGTACAGATTTATGGATGTTTTTTACTCTTTCACGAAAAGCTACTAAATGGATTTTAATCAAATTTTACGATTATATAGCTTATACATCAGAACAACACATAGACTACTTTTTATCCCGGAAAAATGTACGGTTCTCGTGTGATAGATTTGTTTTCGGTTTCCTAAAGGCGTACCCGAGCGAAGCGAGGATGAACCGCTAGTATACATATGCTGACGTTTTTCAATCTTTTCATAGAAATCTGTTAAAAAAAAACATTGAACGAGGACAAACAGGAAGGCAAGACTATAAAAGACGTACATGGATTTATAGACATTATAAACATACTTTCTGCTCAATATGTACTAATTACTTATAATTAATATATGGTATTTATAAAATGTCTTATTTGCTAAAAGAGGAGAAATAAATATATAATAGTGAAATAGCCGCAGCCCTATAGTATTAATCACCTACGTATACAAATTACAAAAAAATACATAAATAAATAATAAAATATACATAGATAACCTATTGAAGCCATGTTATCATATGATTTAGTGTTTATCTATATCCATTGTTGCATACTTAGTAGTATGAGATATTGTTATAGTTAAATAAATATATTTTAGAAATAAAATATATCCGACTGCCTGAAAGCTAACTAAGGGGATGAAAACAAGTTGTCGAAGGAATATAGTGATAATGTTCTCCTAGCCGATTCCGGCTACGGCGGCCAATCTCATTGAGATTAGCCAACTGCGCAGGAGATATTATAGCGCTCAAGTATACGCGCAGACACAAGTGCACTCTCTATTCCTATCACTCTCATACTCCGGTGGGACGACCACTCGCCACGACCGGTGAGAGTTAAGGCGCAGGACCGACGGCTTTACGTGCTCTCCGAGGCACGGGGGTGAAACACCGCCAACTTCCCAACTCCGGGCTGTTACTGAGACTTACTTAGATTTGTAAATGTGGGTTGTACACGTTATACCGAGGTATCCTTGTTGGGACATTTATTTTAAAAATTGAACGTTTACCATTCGATGTAAAATTGTTATATCTAACACATTTCTACTAAACTTAGTGTGTCTAATATGAAATGTTTAACTCGGTCTTTATATGTTGGCAGTTGTTTAATTAAATTTTCGCTATAGCAAAGGTGCCAGAGAAATCTTTTTTGAATTCTTTCAATATTCTTTTTATATTATAGTAAGGATTTCAAGTAACACTGCAATATTCTAGGGAGCTTCTAACTAATGTTTTGTAAATTAAAATCTTTGTAAGGGGATCACGGAAATCTTTATAATTTCTGATAACAAAACCTAATATTTTATAGCATTTATTCGTCATTAAATCAATGTGTTAGTTGAATTTTAGTTTGCTATCAAAAATTACACCAAGATCTTTAACGAATTCTATCGTCAGCATACTGTGTCTTTTATTATTATTATACTCATTGGGTGTACATAAATGATTTTTCCTGAATTCGATATATAAAAATTTATCAGTGTTTAATATCATCCGGTTATTACTTATTACACCACTTAATTAGGCGGTTTAGACTATCTTGTAGCAATTCAACGTCTAATTGACTTCCAATAGATTTTAATATCTTTAAATCATCAGAAAAAATTGCAAATATCATTAATGAAAATGTTAAATAATATTGGTCCTAAGTGGGACCTTTGAGGTACTCCAGATTTAAAGGCAAAGGACAAAAAACCATTACTACGACTACAGTTGCAGAACGATTTTTTAAATATTTTTGAAAGAACACTTTTACTCGGGAGGTTTGAAACCACTGCAATAGGCAGACCGAAATTCCAAACTTTGACAATTTGTGTAACAAAAATTGTCACCATGTCAAACGCCTTACAAAAAGCTGTATAAATAACGTCATGGTATTCGGGAATCCACAACTTTAATTAAACTTGCTTGATATGTCAGGAGGCTTGACACAGTAGATCTAGATGTCATAAAACTATTTTGATGACTTGTACTTAATATTCTGTTTACATGTCACACAAGCAGTGGACATACCATGGACTCAAATAATTTACCAAAAATTGGAAGGATTGGTATGGGGATCGCCCATCGATACAATTTTCGAAATGTTTATTTGGTTTGGCTTACCTGGTTTTGGAACTGGAATTACAAGTGACTTTTTCCAGTACGCAGGAAATGTGCCAGTAATAAGAGATTTGTTAAAGATTTGTAAGAACATATGACAAACCTTTAGCAATTTTTTTAGCCGAGTCAAACTTTATATATACTTACAGCCACCGCTGTAAGTGATGTACAAACGGCGCGCGGCGCAGGGAGTAGCTACTAGCCGAGTATAATCGAAAAGAGCCAAGTATCAAAAAAAGTCTTATTACACTTTTTTTGGTCCGCTCCCATCAGCCCAGAACATGTAACGCGCGATAAGGAATTTTGTTCCAAAAAAATATTCATCTGTAGACGATTTGACAGTTTTAAAATCACTTTCTGTAAAATGGTGTTCACATAGTTTTAAATAATATAAAGATTGTGATTTCGCCAATTTTGGTTGTCTTATTGTTTTAGCCCAATTTATTCTGTTTTTTGGCTTTTGGGAACAAATGATATCCATTTTCTTTGCATTGTGGCACTGCACAATTTGTCACTTCAATTAAATTTCAAATTACAAAAAACTATCCACACTATAGAGCTTTACGATATACTGAGGATTATAGTGATTGCGACATCTGGCGAGAGAAAAAGGCAAAATTCTTGACCATTCTCTTCTGAAAAAAATTTGACATTGACACATTGTAATTTGACAACAATTAATTGACGCCTGCGAAGTGCGGCTTCAAGCCTGAGTCTGACGTTTTTTCTTTTTTTTTAGAGTTGGAGTTTCAGGCTAGTGTCTATATCTTATATTATCTATCTTAAATTAGCTGAATACAAGATATAAAACGAAATAAATAATGTTTTGGAATACCATATTAAATGAAAGTAGAACAACTACACCCATATTAGGTAAACAACGGAATTTAAATTTTAAAGTAGACTTTTGAAATTTTAAAGTAGACTTTATATATATATGTTTACAGAATTCTTACGACATGCAAGTAAGAAAACTGGAGGCAGTACAAAAAATACGAGTTGTAAAGTAAAACCAAAGCGCAGAGGTTGGAAAGTACAAGATGGTCATTCAGTACGATTAGGGCACATTCTAGCTACACAGCTTACGACAAGATTTCATCCTGGACTTAATGTAAGTAGGGATATACAAGTGCCCAATTTACATTTTCATCTTTTCCACTTATAACCTAAAAATAATTGTATAAAAATTTAAATCTAGTTTAAAATGAGAAATTTTACCTCAAAGCAAATAAAGGAAGGAATAATATTATCTTTATAAATCTGAATAAAGTAAAAACTCATTTAACCAAATACTACTACTGTATTTACTTAAACAAATAGTACAAAACTCCATGATTTTGTGACATCATCTAGATTTTAAGCCAATAGCTAAGTAGGTTTTGTGTAATTATTAATTTAAAATAAAGTATTTTGTATTTTCTTATACAACTATAATATACTCACTCATATAACATATGTCAAAACAATATGAGATATAAAAAAATTAAAACAACATGCAGTATTAAAAATAAGTAGACAATTTTGAATTTAAATCACAAGTCAACATTATTACATACTTTGTTTTTATATTTTTTTACCACACCTTTTACTACACCTTTGTTGCTGCTTTGTTCAGAATCCTTGTCATGATAACACTTTGTGTATTAAGTGTGAATGGATCAGGAGCGAGATAAACAATAAATATTTTTTTATAATTTAAGGTTGGTCTTGGGAGGAATGGAACTTTATTTGCAATTGAGGCCGGTAAAGTTGTTGTTACCTGTGAGAAGTTTGACCCCGACTGGGAACATACTTGGGTCCAAAGAATATATGCTGGACGAGAAAATCAAACAATATTTAAGAAATATTTTAATGTCATACCTGAACCCCAGCATACAAGATTTAAACTAGTTGATGAAGTTTAGACATGTTTTACAATGTATTACGTAGTCATTACAAGTTTTAGTCAATTATTTGTCTTTCAATTCTAAAAAATTAAATTTTAGTTTTAAATACTATAAGAATAAATATTGGTGTACGAAACTATTTATATATATATATAGATTTAGATATTATGTGTTCTTATACCATCCACAGATCACATAACACAGAACACAATACTAGTACAGATGCCTCTTCTCATACAAAGAAATTGAACAGCGCTAATTTGGGCTACTCTTCGGCTATTTAGTTTGCATGAATAGATAATATAGATGTCGTTGATTCGCAAATAGTTAAACTTTTATTTTATAAATATGTGCATTTTCAATTCGAAAAAAAAATATTCAGTCATTTTTATTTTTTCTACCCTAATAAACAATTCATAAAAAAATAAAACCGCCATCTGTGAATACACTACAAACCCATCATCTGATTGCTGATATTTCAATAATCAGTAAAATTACGCGTATTTGATTTACACTTAGAATATAAGTAATAACAATGATATACCTTTTTGGCATCTATTTTTTGTTTGTTGTTAACACAATAATAAATCGATACATGTAACGTCATCTATTGACATTTATTGGAACAATTTTTTTTTTTGTTCATGATATCTACATGATACCATCCAACTAGTACGCTATGAGTAATGAGTTGAAAGCGCTGTTGTGACGGTTCTTCACGTTGTTCCATAAACATATAATAGATGGCGCATAAATCGAACCAAATTATTATTTAGTCTATCTATCCTATACCTAGTATAGTATTATATGATCTGTGCCTATAGGTACATACAATAAAATTTTGAGTCGAGCGAGTCTGTAAATTAAATATTTTTTGGAAATTCTTATTGAAATAGTCATTATTATCGATACAGAGGCCAAATCTATAGTTTTAAATATTTTTTTGTCTGTCTGGGAACGCATCACGAAAAAACCATTGAAAAATTTTGATGAAGCTATTTGTGTTATCACTAGTATACATAAATTATTAGGTATAAGTCAGACATGTGCATTTTTCTTCCAGTTGTACCTATTCGGTCGCGTTATCGCTATCGCATATTTGTATGGAATAGAAAGTGAAAATAATGTAATGAAAACAGGCACTTTCTCTATTATATATTATATTCTTCTTTCCGAACTGGTAATAGACTCATAACGTTCAGTAAAAATTGTAATAATTTAATGCTGAATAAAATATTTTGAATTTTGAATTGGTAACATTATCTACTTACTAATAACACTTTTTATATTTTATATGCCCTTTGAAAAAATGTTACTGAACCTATCAAATGGACAAATTAACGACAACTCTACTGTCTAAAACTCTAGACATATAATAAAATAGTAACAAAGTCAAATATCTACATGAAATATTTAAAAAAAATATATGACTATTACATACTATTACGTATTGTTTACGGAATATGCACCCCAAAACAATCGCTGTTGAAATTTTCGTCTGTTTGTCTGCATGTCTGATTGTATGTACATCTGTAAAAAGTAATGAAGGATTTTTGTGTAGTGACAAGTTACAACATTTAGGATACCTTTTACTACGGGGAAATCTCTTATTCCCATAGGAAAACACAATAACTGGTTCGGTCGAGTTGTCATTCACACAAAAATTTCAGTGTTTCATTCAGGGCTCAGAACCGGTTTAAAATAACGGTTTATTTCGGTAATGAAATGGTTAATTCATTGCTCGTTCTTTGACCGGTTAATGAAAACTAGCGGTTTAGTAAGCCGAAATAATAATGGTTAACGGTTATTCTTAGAGAAAGATTGGATTTCGGTTTTGAAACCGAAGTAAACCTGTTAATTCATTCATAATTAAGAAACGTGCATACATCCTTCTACTAAGCCATTCACCGTTAGCAGAGAGACGCGGCAAATGTAAACGCACAAAAACTCATTTTAACCGGTTAATTTTGTTCATGGAACCTAAATTCGTCAAAAACCGTTCTCCCAGATTTAACCGCTATAAGAACGTAACCGAAACCTTAAACCGAAAAGCCTCTCGGTTTGGGGTCAATGAACAAAACCGGTTTAAAAATTGAATGGGTTTTCGAGACCTGGCTATATTACACTAACATCATTAGTATCACGTGTGCTAAAATATTGTGGGATCTAAAAAGCCTACAGAAAAATTCGCATGTGTCTATCTCCTAAATTAGTAAAGCGTCTAAAACATATTCAAAAATAATAATATTTTTTATGATGCCTAAATCATACGTTATAACAATACGGGGTACTACAAATCATTTTTAAAGTAGCAATGTGTAGAAAGAAGTGTTTGTACTGATTTACGTTTAGAGTTATTTATAAGGCAATAAAATTTGTCCGTCCCTCATGGCGTTTCCCGTTTTCTTCATATTTCATGAGCGAGCTTACCTTGGTCGTATGTAATATCATCGTAAATTTGTGTTAGGCACGACGCTTGTACTTGAACAGCTGATATTGTAAGGTATTACCTTACAGCGGAACAGTTTTACATTAGAAATATCATAGGAAAATAGTTACAATATTATGGTAGATAATAGTACTATGGACAAATAATTACCATGCCTGTAATTAAATGATATTATGTAATCATTATATTCTAATGTACGCCACAAATATTCGTAATAAGTCGATTTCGTTACAAACGGATGTCGAAGTCATCATGGAACTATACAAGTATAATATGTATATACTTTTCCGTACTTACTGCCTTACAAGGGATTTCTATAATTCTGTAATTTTCCTACAAAATACTGCTGACCCCTGATATTTTCAACTTTATTTTTAATTTTAAAGGATGCCGATGACAAAATAATAATGTTATTACATTTTTATTTTAATTGCGATATAATAAATATTCAAATATTAAAAAAAGTGATCTAATATTTTTCTATGAATTATTTACCTACCTGCTGCTCGTACAAGCAATATCAGAATAAATATAATTTTCTATACATGTAATTGATTCCCGGCACTCGTTGGCAACAGATGCTAGCAACGAATATGTGACAAAAAAATAGCAGGTAGGGAGAGGAGATTGGTGATTTTCCGGTTGTGAAATAACGTCCGGTGACCGGATGTAAACCGGACCGGAACGAAGTAACTAGATGGATAAAACTTATCAGTAGGGTACAGGTGTTAGGTCATTTTTTCTGGGTCAATCATTCTTTCAAGGGAGTCTTACTTGGAATTCTAGGAATAATTGGATGTCTTCAATTTTAAAATTTCAATACTTATTTTGATATAGATATATTATATTAGAAAAACTTAAAAAAACTGTAGTAAGTCAATCAGTCCTATGCCTTGTTCTATTTATATCGTGTCAGTATTGGATTATGAGATTATATGTATAATTGAGAATAAGTACTACACTTTTTGTTGTGCATTACTTTTGTACTATAATATTTTATAAGATATATCTACTTACTTACAGTTGTCAAGAATCAAGTATTCATGCAAGATTATTCTAGAAACATGTGTGACTATTAATTCGAGGATTGATAATCAGATGTTTTCGAAGTCAGTGCCAGCCGACAATATTTTAAGACATGAACATCTAATAAAAATAAAAATTATATATATGGTAAATATATATTTTACGTATCGAAATATATTAGATTTGCTTTCCATCGGCTGGCACCGACTTCGAACATATCTGATTAGCTATCTATTCTAAATAAAAACCTCCGTTTAGTTATTTTTTACATTTTAGTGCTTGGAAGTCGGTTTTTATTATATTTTTCAAGTTTTTTTTTATATATATTTTTATTAATTAAAAGATTTACAGTTTATGCACTATTAATGGAACATGACGATTTTGTACGATACCTACTAAGAAAGCAAAGGAATCTGAAACTTACATATAAATACTTTTTAAAGAAAAAATAAACAAATCAAAACTGCCAAAAGTAAAAAGAAAAACCGCTATTATCGGTTGGTATTTGAAATTCATATGGGATCCTTGATTAATTGAAATGAAATGATATAAACTTTACTCAATTAGACTTATTACAAGTGCTTTTGAATTGTAAGCATCAGTGCAGTCAGTCCGTGAGGAAGCTACCACTGGTTCGATCTCGATTGAAAAAAAAAACATAAAAATCAAAAAATGTCCCAGTAAAAGACATTCTTTTTTTGAAATAGCCCAAAAAGATTGTACGAAAAGTGAGAAAAATAATATAGTGATAATGATATCGCTGATTGACTAGCTATATATTTTTTTAAATTTGCTTGTATAAAAAAATCAGAGTAGAAGCTAATGGAGATTTTTTGGTACCACCAAATTACTGCATTCGGATGCCCAATAACGTCTCACACCCGTTGCGCCGTAACTCAAGGGCTAAATTAGACTTTTTGCATTGACGCGAAACTTCTCGTGTGTTTAGCTTTATGTTTTGCTGCCGTTCAGTTGAGCTTTCAAATAAAGCTTACTGTAACTATGGTGCACGTTTGTATTTTACATGTTAGTGTTTCTATTTTCTACTAACCGATTAATTTACTTTTAAGCTTTACAAGTTGTTACAATAACGTTTAAAAATATGTTTTTCTTTTAAAGATCGTGTGAAATTTTAAAACTTCTAATAAGCAATTTTGAAATTTGTATTGAACCATTCTATACGAGTAAATCGGTAAAAGTCAACGATGGTTCCGTGTTCACAGTTCACACTCATATCTATTACCGTACATTTTCCCCTCACGGTTTCAGACATTTGCAAGGCATTGTACTTCGTGATTAAAACGGAACACTTCAATATCGACCTTATGACGTACAGGATATGGTCGATCAGACGTTAAGCTAGGGTCAAATTAAAGAGTTCTCTATGTAGTGTTTCTGTAATGAAAGTCGCTGACAAGTCTGCACATTGTCGAGTCTTGAGTGACGCGATGTCGGAGCAACATTGTGTTTTGATGACCTATAAACGCGGTAAAGCAGAAAATGTATCGTGCTGACTTATATAAGAAAAATATGGCGTTAG